GGAAGGAAGGAAGGAAGGAAGGAAGGAAGGAAGGAAGGAAGGAAGGAAGGAAGGAAGGAGACATAAAATTGAAAAGAGAATGAAGGATACAAGGAAGGAGAGAAGGAAGGTACAAGGAAAAGGAAGAAAAACAGACTTCTAAGTTGGCATCATAGTCTAAATCAGTGTTTTTTCAATCCTGGTCCTAAAGGCACAATGCTCTCCATGTTTTGGATGTTTCTGAGCTTCAGCACACCTGATTCAGATGATTGCAGTTCAGCAAAGCCTGATAATCTGCTATCAATTGATAACAGCTGTGTGAAAGCTGGGAGACATCGTAAACATGCAGGGCAGTGCGCCTTGAGGACCAGGGTTGAAAAACACTGGTCTAAATAACTTCCAGAACTGAAACAAACCAAAACCAAACTCAACGATAAAAGATGATTCTGGATCCTTCCATATGTATGGACTCACTTCAGAGGATACATTCTGAGGGCGACGTCCATGCCGGGGCAGTAGGACAGGAAGGCGGCGAGGGCAGTCTCCTCAAACAGTCCGAAGATCAGGATCTTGTTCCTGAAACGCAGCAGAAATAAATACGATGAAGCGTCTCCGAACATCTACTGGTTCAATCCTGGATTTCTGCAGAGATCTGCTCACTTCATGCCCTGCTGGAAGACGGAGTTCCTCCTGGTCTTACAGATGATCAGATCGGCCCACTGTACGATGACGATGCTGACGAAGAAGGCGGTGTGGCAGGTGAACTCCACGATCTTCCTCTGTTCGTACGTCTGAACAGATTTCACAGCAGGTTAAAAACCGCAGTTCAGCAGAAACCTTCCTCTAGATCACCAACAAAGACGCGGGACTCACCCATTGCTGCCCATAGCTGTCCTCCAGGTCGTTCATGTACTTGTTGTCCCAGTTCACTCGGATCCCGATGAGGGTGGAAGGCAGGAAACCGTTCTCCGCCAAAATGACGAAGTAGGTGAAGAAGCCCGCCAGCGCCTGGATCATCCCTACAGGAGCAACAGTCAGTAAAGAATGAGAGATTGATCGATCCGTCATGGATAATTGAAAAAAGAAACCAGAATTTTTAATGGTCATTTCCAGACATTTCAAACCAAAAATATGACAATATTTGAAAAATAAAGCTGAACATGACTAACAAAAGATAAAAACACTGAAAACAGCATTTGAGTCAAATTTGAGGTAAAAAAAGAGGTAATTTTCATTCCTAAGAGCAATAAACTGTTTTCACGAAGCTGAAAAGGTCCGCTTTCTTCACAGAGAAGAAATATGACCAAAGTTATTTGTGGCTTTAATTCAAATAAACTGTAAATCAGAAAACAAGCAGAAACTTTTGCTTCCCTCCTTTCATTCAAGGCCACCCAGAGAACACCTGGGAGAGCAGCACTCCCTGATCCTAAACTTAGAACAGGAACACAGAGTTCTGGCTTTAGAAGAACTCAGTGGAACCGTCCCACCATCTAACCCCCCTTTTTTGTCCTCCCTGTGGTTGAAAACACATTTCCTTCTACGGTTCAACCAGACAGTATACCTCCCACATAAACCCAGGAAGTGTTTATTTACCGATCTGTCCATACGCGATGCTAATCAGCCTCTCGTTCACCAGTTTGTCTGTTTTGGGGTTTCGGGGCTGTCTCTTCATGATGTCGCTCTCGGCAGCTTCATAAGCCAGAGAGATGGCGGGAACCTGAGGGGCGAGAGGTGAGGGAAGGCCGGTCAGGAGCTGCAGACTGCAGGGATAATTGAGGCAGAACAAAAAAGGCAAAGCATCCTCACCATGTCTGTTCCCAGATCGATACAGAGGATGGTGACAGTTCCCAGAGGCAGAGGGATGTTAGCGATGATGAAGAGGAGGAAAGGAGTGATCTCGGGGATGTTACTGGTCAGGGTGTAGGCGATGGACTTCTTCAAGTTGTCAAAGATCAGGCGACCTGGTGAGAAAATGAAATCCTACTTAAGGACTTCTGTATCAAGCTGCATCTAAAGAATCTTTTCTTTCTTTACTATGTCGTCACCTTCTTCCACTCCAGTAACAATGGAGGCAAAGTTATCGTCCAGCAGGATCATGTCGGCCGCCTGTTTGGAGACATCAGAGCCAGCGATCCCCATGGCAACGCCGATGTCAGCTTTCTTCAGAGCTGGAGAGTCGTTTACACCGTCACCTGTCACGGCCACGATGGCTCCCTGCAGAACAAACAAGGAGGGAGAGAGTTTGACTTTGTTTAGCTGAAATATTGACTGAAAATAAAAGTACAGATTTAATGTTTATGTGACTCAAAGACATTTTTGCTGCTAGATCTAAATATGGCAAAGGGGCAGGTTTTCCTTAGGACAAAACGTCCTTCATGTTTTACCTGTCTCTGGCAGCCTTCAACAATGATTAGCTTCTGCTGCGGGGAGGTCCTGGCAAAAACGATTTCTGTGTGATACTTCAAAATGTCATCAAGCTGCTCTGGGGTCAGATCTTTCAGGTCGCCTCCATGAACAACACAAGCCTTGGCATCCCTGGAAGAAGAAAAAAAAAAGATTAAATCATCCTGATACGATCAAAGGAACATTGAAGGTATATTTGAAACAATCTAAGGACCAAGAACACGACCCTGAGGTTATCCACATACGTTAATGGATTTCTTTCTCACTACACGGCAATGATTCTGTACCTTGGGTTAACCTCGTTGATAGGAATATTCAAACGTGCAGCAATGTCCTCCACAGTCTCGTTGCCTTCAGAGATA